TTCAGCAACCGGACATCATCCATATCATGGCCTTTGGCAATTTTCTGCGCATGACAGGGATTCTTGCTGCAGACTTGGATAGGGCAATGATACACCTAACCCGTACCGCCGTACCTACCTTGCGAGGTTGCGCTCGAGAACCTTTCGTGTTGTTTGAAATATTCAACCAGGTGTTAAACTCATCGTTGAGAGTGTCAAATTCAGCAACGGCGGATTTACTGGTCCCTTCACCTGATGCCGAGCAGCCTGTCTCAAAGCAGTTCTCAGAGGAATTTGTCCATTTCCTGAGACACGAACTCATGCTCGAGGAATTAGAAGGTATTATAGGCGCCATTAGCGTCTGCTCAATGCGACTCTGGAGTAGTGTCTTCTTGTTCAGGCCAAAGGATTCCAGCATCAGCAGCTTCGGCAGTCTCTCCGGGGCTTCATTCAACATCGATCAAGCAATCTTGACGGAGCATGTTATCTGGAAAGGTCCACTGTGGGCATCGCAGATATTGAAGAAGTATGGTCTTGCAGATGTGGCTTCAAGTAATCAAACCGAGGTGGATTTCGAAATAGACGACATTCTCGTCCGGAAGGGCATTTGGAGCGGTTCGCGCAGTGAAGGAGCTCGATTGGCCGCTAATGGAGTGGCCCGACTCCTGTGGAAAGAGAGACAGCAGAGGATCGAGGCACAGACAAGCGCTTCTGCGGAAAGGACAAGTATTACAGAACCATCAGTGTGGCGAAGATTCTCAGGAGAAATATAAACTGGTGACGAGCTAGAGGGGCAAGATGCATAAGTGTTTGGATGGTGGCGGCGTTCAGCCCTCTCAGCAGCTGTGACGCGGAGGGGTGGCAATGCAGGTCATATGCAGGAGAAGAACAGTTGATGAGCTGGCATCTGTTCAGTGGTTGCGGCTGATGGGATAGGGAGGAGGGCACGAGGGCAAAACGCACCATGCAGGGCGCAGGCAGAAGAGAGACGCGAGAAATTCAGGCACAGAGCCGTTATAGGGCTAGGGCGCGTCTAGCGTCTTGGCATTGTTTATTCCATCGGGCTCCACTGGCGTGACCAACGTAGTAATTCCCAATAATAATAATATTGACAAGGGGCAGCACGAAGGGGAAGCGAAGCGAGCTTCCAAGATCACCGCAACTTGGTTTCCCAGGTCTCTTTGTCTCTGTCACCCAGCGCAACGACAGCAAGGCGTACATGGGACACACGTCCTCTGCGCTACCAACAAATCAATCTTGGGATAACATCACCCCTTACAGTAATTACCTTCATCTATCGTACTCTATTTCTCTCACTTACAATCTCATGGCTGTCCTCGTATCTCAATTCTGCTGCACCGCTCTCGACGACCTAGCGCCCCTCGATGTCCCTCACCGACACCATGCCTGAGCCATTATCTTCCCTGTCGCCCGCCAAGCAGAACTCCAGATCCTCCCCTGTTAAGCTCGATTTTCTCCAGAAGCCTCTTCCAGAAGCTCTAAAATCTCCTAGCACCATGTCCACCACTACTCTCGCGCAGCCCGCCCTAATTGATACAACCAATATCTCTCTACCTCCCATGGACGATCCCATTCCATCCCCTACACTCTCTACTCAGCCTTCGAGTCCGAGAAAGACGTTGTCGCCGATCAAATACCGCCTACAAGACGAGCCGAAAGTCGACAGCTCTCCCCCCGGCTCTCCTGCTGAGCCTACTGTTCGCTTCAACGAAGGCCTCACGCGTGCGATCGACACGATGCAGCAGGACGCAGATGCGCAAGATAATTGTCTGGAAGAGTCAATGATACACCATACTCTTGATGATGGCATCGACATATCGACAGACTGCACCAAGGAGGAGGTGGATACAATGACCTTGACTCTAAGTCTGGATGACAAAACTATCCATGATGATACAATTGGGGATCTGAGCACCATCTCTGCGATCCCCACAGACCTGACCAGATTCGCAAATCTGAGAGACACGCCATCCCAATCCCGGCAGGAGCCTTGGTCGCCTTCAAAACAACTCAGGCCCTCTGTAATCACAGGGACACCCGGGACTGCTCAACGCCCCTTGCGCCTACTGTCGGCCACCAGGCGGAGCATTTCATCGAATGAGGAGGACGAAGCGACGCCTCGAAGAAGCACCTATTTCAACGACTCTCCAACGGATCTCTTGAATTTCACGGGACAAACAAACATTTTGATACCCCCTCCCGGCTCTGCACAACGGCCCATCAGGAGAAGTCCTTCTGGAAGGAAAGGGTTCCCAATCAAAGTCAACCCAAGTCCAGTACATCGGTCGCAAGCTTCCGTGGATCGCGAACGAGCCTCAGGCCGTTCTCCGCAAAAGCAGGACCAAGCTCATTTCGGAGACAAACCCATCCCTTCAACACCTGCTACCCAGAGACATAGCATGTATGGCGCAACAACCGGGCTAGGAATGGATCTATTGGATATCGACCTTGAACCGATGGCTACACCACGGTCAATTCCCACCATTACTCCCAGAGAGCTAGAGACCCTTCGGTCGGAACTGCAATCACGAATCTCCGGCCTTGAAGCGACCCTCTCCGGCAAGGAGGCAGAAGTGATGGCTCTGAAACGTGCCGTCACTGATGCGGAAGTGCGAGTTGGCAAGACGAGTGAGGAGCTCCGAAACGAGCGTGCTTCTCGGGAGGAGCTGGAACATGCAAAGGAAGAGTTGGAGCGCCGCAGTCGAGAGATGGAGGAAGTCCTTAGGGAGGTCAAACAGAACATCTTTCTCGAGGAACGGGAAAAGGAAAAGCTTCGAAAACAGGCCGAAGATGCGGAGCGAAGGTCGGAGGAGCACGAAGTACGGATCCTTGAACTTCAAGCTTCCCTCGACACTCTGCGGTCTGACCGCATCAGGTCTACTCCAAGCCCCGAGAAGCCCGGCGCCCCCGCAACGCCCGGCGTGAGCACCGACATTGATTTTGCCGTCAAGGACGCAACCGAAAAGGTCGCTCGCGAGCTACATGCATTATACAAGAGCAAACATGAGCGCAAAGTGGCAGACTTGAAGGTCAGCTATGAGAAAAGATGGATCAAGCAAGTCGAACAGCTTCGAATGGAGCTTAAGGCATCTCAAGAGGAAGTACTCAAGCTGCAAACAGAGAAAGAAGCAACCATGAGTGGCATTATTCCGGGCCAAAGCGAGGCCATGTCCAAGATGGAGGGGCAGATTGAAGAGCTCCGCCGGTGGAACGAGGAGACTAACGCTGAGAAGAAAATGCTCGAGGCCGAGGCAGCAGGGCTCCGTGGTCAAGTTGATTCGCTTACTGCTGAGACCGATTCACTTCGGAAAGAGATTGAACAAGAGAGGGTGGAGAAGGGCGAATTGGTTGCCCAGGTGGATCTCTTCCTGACAATGAGTGCCCAGCAAGAAGAACAACGCGTCATGCAACACCCACAACAGCCCGTCAGTCCACCTCGGAGTGAAGATGGCAACGGGCGACCAAATTCGGCGTCAGCATTAGCCAGCCCCAACAGATTTAAGAGCAGCACGAACGGCGGAGAGGCCAGGTCAGGTTTGCCAGGGCGGCCTCGGCCAGTAAGTATGCTGCAGAAGCCCACGGCTGGGAAATACTCGGGTATTCCAGCCCCTGGATCTGGCCTGAAGGCACCTTCAAGCAACAGCAAAGCTTCTGGATATGGAGGTCGCATTCTGGAGGGTATTGCTCGAATGGGTGCCGGCGGGAGATAACTGTCCTGGCTGGATTCTGTCTTTCACGGGGTGGTGCCACGAGACTGGCTCAACCTGGTAATTTTGGATACGACTAGCATGATTGATCCCTGGATGAACTTGATGACAACGGGGGTGGAGTGGCAACGGCGTTTTCCATTGCGAAGCATGTCAAGTGTTGAGCGATATTGTAGCAGCAAGCAAGAGTTTATTGTTAGGAAGACACAGCAAGGAGGGTGGAAGGAAGTACGGGGTAGTCTGTAGTACATGAAACCAATGGTGTAGTTCGATGTTCCGATCAAGGCGAAAGACCCGCCGCCCTAAGCCGAGAGCTTGTTTGCCAAGATATTCTACACCAAAAACAGAAAAGCTCAATATCTGCATCTTTTCCTGCTCTGTCTGCGTCCAGCTCCTCCTTCCCTACGGGACCGTATGTCGGGAAAAGCGGTGGCTATGGAAGGTTCTGGTTGATTGATCCCTTTTTTTTAAGATATCTCTGTTAGGCATATAATAAGTCAATCGAAGAGACACACCACATCTCGTACAAACGATGAGAGTTTAGCCAGCCGCTCCCTCCCCCTTCCGGCGTTTCAGCCAGCATCATTTCCCAACCCGAGACGCTGCACGATCTTGTTAGGACTTCAAGGTGATACATCCCACTACCATTCTCGACTCCTTCCTATAACAACGTAATCTCACCCAAGCGCCATTTTCCCACGGAACCGACGTCTGAGACTTGAAAAGTGGCTCAAAGCTCGATGGAGTGCCACGTGCTAACTCGATCAACCTGATCCGTAACATGGACAGCGCCCGGTATTCTCTATTCCGATCCCTAAAGTCTCCGCCTCCCGTTGTGCTGGCCTATGGCATTCATTGAGATGTGGTGGATGAAGCCATCGTGGTCAGACCTGTGCTCGGTCCTCGCTAAAATGCTGTTACGGCAGAGACCAACTTTCTTTAGAGGGGATGGTGCAGTGTCCCGGACATCTGAGGCACACCAGTGTTGGACGGAAGGAAGTTCATCGGAAGTTTGCAGGTAGGGAAACACCCATGCTCTGTGTATATATGCACCGTCTCCCTCTATTCCTGCTGTTCGGCTCTCCAGCCTGTTGATCCAGCTCGATCGTGCCCGTTCGTTCGCAACCTCACATTCTCTTTCTCTACTCTGTTCTTTCCCTTTCACATTCAATTCAACATCGTTCCTGGAGAACCGATCAGGTCTGTGGCCTACGCTGTATTACCAAACCAGATTCAACCCTCACGCTCTTTACGAGATTCACGATAGCATAAGCACATACCGACACAGCCGAAATGAAACCAGCCATTTGTCTTTCGATTCTCCTCGCTGCTGGATTTGATGTCGCAGCTGCCCGCCCAGCGAACCTGCACATGAAGCGGAGCCATGACCATGGAATGCAAACTCGATCTCCAATTTGGAATGCAAAACTTGGCCGACGTGAAGTGCCGCAAGAACACTCGCACGAGAAATTCCTTACCATTGTCAACCAATTCCTGAAGACAGACAACCCCGACAACATCGTGGATGCTGTATTTGGTCTCCTCGGCAATGCGGCCGCTTCTGCTGGACAGGGCGATATTTCCAACACAGATTGTCTTCAACAAGCCACTGCTGACAGGGCTTTCACCAATGCAAAAGCCGCTGGGGATGTCGACGGTATGACAGCTGCTTTGATTTATAGAGCTCTCGAACGCAATACCGGAGCTGTCGGACAGGCTTCTGTTCCCTGCACCGCAATCCAAGCTGTAAACCCGGAAATCGCGGCCATTTCGCAGCACCAGGATCCAGCCTCTGACAATGCTGCCACTGTTAATAAAGACATCGCTCTGGCACTCGCTGTTCAGATTGCCAACATCGGCGGTAACCCTCTTGATGCCCTGCAGTCCGGCACTTTTGCTCCCGGCACGCTCGGTGATCCGACTGCGAAGGGAAATAGTTGCGACGATCAAAACGACCCAGTCGGCTGTATCTTCACGCAGAATCTGCTTGTTGAGGATGCCACTGAAGATGAGGTCAACGCTGCTGTCGCTGCCTCGGCCACTGCTTCTGCAGGGACTGCCGCAGCTACTGACTCGGCGGCAGCAACAGAATGCACCGCGCCCCCTGCCGCAGAAGAAACTACCGCGGTGGCCTCTACAGTGGCTGCTGTCGCTGCCACAACGACGTCGGCTGCGGCGGTTGCTACTTCGACCAGTACCGCAAGTCAGACAATGAGCACTTCCACTTCAACCAGCAGTTCTTCCAGCCTGGATTTGGGTTCCTGTGCAGACCCAACCATCATCGTAAGTCGATCCTTTCATCTAAGACACTATCTCCGAGTTCCGGCGACGTCACCGACATGAGATACTGTTAATTTTACCGGCACATGCTTACAAAGCTTCACAGTTCGCTAATGGTCTCGACGGCCGCAAGGAGCCATCTTTTGAGCCCAACGACAAGACAACATTTACGCATGGTTCCGCACTCAACATCAAGGTCATCACGGACTTTATTTGTAAGTGATCTCTTGTTTCCTTTCCCCCAAGTTTACCACATAGTTTCTTTTGGTGTTTCGATGAGTTTGAGCCTTCACAGCTGACATGGATATTCTTGCAGGCCAGCAACTCGACGTCAAATGCAAAGCCTCCCAGCAAGCCCTAGACGCATGCAGTCAGGGTGCCACCGCCGCGCAAGGGCAAACTGGCCAAGCGGCCGCCGATGCATTCAACCAGGCACTCGGCTTCTAGCGATATTCCTCACACAGTTGATACACCAGCCAGAGCACAGGCGAATAGAGAATTGATTAACAAATATCCTCTGGTTGATGATCTTTGGTAGCGAACATCATCAAGTGAGGAAGGAGACATAGTCGTCAGCCACCATAGGTGGTGAAGATTTGCCGTTATGCCAGCGGTTGGTATTTCAGATAAATATATGCAACATATCGAGGAGAGACATTATATGCTTCTTGACACTTCGCTTGACACTTGTCTGCCAAAAGTAACTCGTGGATTTTTTTTTTCAGTCACCCTATTGAGCACGTGCCGCAACTAGAATTAAATTAATTGAGTAGAGTCAATATATCGTGTCTCAATCCCGCGTGTTAGGATCAATTAATGGGTGTCTGCACACTCCCGAGGCCATTTGGGAGTACGAGACAGTTGCATGCCCCCACCATGAAACGCGTCCGTACTGGCTTAGACCAGACTCGGCTTCCTCTGCTGAGGAGGCTCATCGGCCAGCTTGAGGACCTTGTCGACCATGGCCTCGCTGTACCCGAGGTAGTTGGCCGGGTTACACAAGCTGGCCAACTCCTGGCGCGTCATCTTCTTGCTGATCTCGTCGTGCTCGCACAGCAGGTCGAGCAGCGGCCTGTCCTCGAGCTGCGACTTGCGGCACAGGTCGTAGACGACGTCGTGGGCGTACTGGCGGCCGAGGGTCTTGCCCAGGCCCATCATGACGGCCTCGCTGACGATGCCGCCCTTGGAGAGGTCGAGGTTCTTCTTCATGGCGTCCTCGTGTACCTCGAGCCCGGCCACCAGCTCCGCCGTGTGCCGGAGCGTCGCGTGCGTCAGGGTCGACAGCTGCGGCAGCACGATCCACTCAATCTCCCAGGGCCCCGTGCTGCGCTCGTGGTCCTCCACCATGGCCTCGAACAGGCTGGCGCTCAGCTGCCGCACCGTCGACGACATGGCCGTGATGTACGCGCACGAGATGGGGTTCCTCTTTTGCGGCATCGTGCTGCTCGACCCCCTGTGCGGGGCGTACGGCTCCGACACCTCACCCACTTCGGTCTGCATCATCAGTTTGACGTCCAGCGCGAACTTGGCGCACGTGCTGGTCAGCATGGCACACAGGGAGCCAAAGTCGGCGATGCGGTCGCGTTCCGTGTGCCACGCAATCTCGGGCACTTTGAGATTCAGGTCTTTGGCCAGTTCGCGCTGGCATTCGAGACCGAGCAAGGGGAGGTCCTGCGTGGGCGGGAGCGTCGCCAAGGTTCCCGCCGCGCCGGAAAACTCCAACACCGTCAGCCTCGTCTCGACGTCCTTTAGTCGCTCGCGATGTCGGAGAAATGTCGCGAGGAGCCTGGCAAGCTTGAACCCAAAGGACATGGGGACTGCCTGCTGAAGATTCGACCGGGCGGCCATCGGGGTGGATTTATACTTGTCCGCCAGATACCGGAGTGAGGCGATGATGTCCTCGAGCGTCTTCTCGAAGAGGCTCATCGTGTCCCACAGCTGGATCACCGTCGCCGTGTCGGTCACGTCCTGCGTCGTCGCGCCCCAGTGCGCCCACTCCCCGAGCCCCGGCTCGATCGCATTGATGTGACTGACCAACTGCCTGACCAAGCCCAGCACCGGGTACCCAATCAGCTCGGTCTGCCGGCGGAGGTCGTGGAAGTCGACGTTCCGGATGTCCAGGCAGAACTTGATGATCTCGTCGGCGGCCCTCTGGGGGATGATGCCGAGTCGGGCCTGCGCCTTAGCCAGCGCGCCCTCGAACGCGAGATAGCACTGTGTGCGGGTCTTGTCGGACCAGATCGCGGCAGATTCCCGGGTGGAAAGGATGTTGCCGAAGATGAGGGAGTCTTGTACAGAGGTCATTGTGGAATTTGTACCATGTATTTGCCTATGGGAGACGGTCAGTTACGATGGTCAGGCAGACTTGAGGTTAATCACTAAAGACAACAAAACAAGGGCCTTGTGATACGAAAACTCTCGGTCGTGTAAGATGTACTGTTGACTTTCGGACCGCAAGTGAAGGCCTTGCATAATAATGATGTCGTTACTCAACAGAGACATAGGCCAATGATTTCTGTCCGGATCATGGACTCAGGCAATCCCGCTGGAAGTTGGAGGCTCTCGAGAATGCGGAGGTTGGGGTAAGTTGCCGGAGTCGGAGAATCAATGTTCCGTTGTCCCGAGGGGTTCGGCACGCAGGGACCGACCTGGCCGAGTACATATGTATAAGGAGGTCCCTCCAACTACATCATACCACTGCAGACTCCATCAGTCCCATCGAATCGTGTGGAACTTGGATTGTTCCTTCTTCCTTCTTATCCTTGCGCGGTTGCAAAGAGTCTTAGATGAGACAGGCTGTTCTTCAAGTAGTAGTTTTCAACCTCGCGCAAAGCCCACGACTCCTGCGCACGAAGCAGCTTCCCCTCAAGGTCTCTCACTCCGCAGCGCATAGCCTCAATCTTTTCGGGAACATCAGTCCCAGTTCAGTCGCTCTCCAACCGTTTGTCTTCAGGTGTTGCTTCAATATGGCCAGCTCCACACGCTCTTCCAAGCGCCAGAAAACCGGCGCCGAAATGGCAAGCGAGACGGGCGACTCGCTGCCCTACAAACTCATTTACTGGCCCAGCATTCCGGGTCGAGGCGAGCACATCCGCCTTGCCTTTGAAGCGACCGGCACACCATACATCGACGTCGCCAACCAAACTGATGCCGGCGTCAACGCGGTCATGGCTCAGATCAGCGACAAGAACATCGGAGACGACAACAACCCTCCTCCCTTGGCCCCACCGATTCTGCAACACGGCGACGACATCCTCCTGTCCCAGACACCCAATATTCTCGCCTACTTGGGCCCCAAGCTCGGTTTGGTGTCTGACGTCACCGCGGACAGCGTCGGACTGTACCACGTCAACGCACTCACGTTGACGGCACTGGACGGCCTGTCCAATGAACCACACGACGTCCACCACCCGATCGCCAGCTCAGCCTACTACGAGGAACAGAAAGAAGAGGCTCTCAAGAAGGCGGCCGACTATCGCGCCGTCCGCCTGCCCAAGTTCCTAGGGTATTTTGAGCGTGTCCTCTCCGGCCCCGCCTCGGGCGGAGGTGAGTGGCTGTACGGCGGCAAACTGACCTATGCGGACTTGGTCCTCTTCCAGACCGTCGACGGCGTGAGTTACGCCTTCCCCAAGCGTGTGGGCAAATTGAAGAGCAGTGGCAAGTACGACAAGGTGTTTGCCCTCTACGAACGGGTCAAGGCACTGGACAAGGTCAAGAGTTACTTGGAGAGTGATAGGCGACTGAAGTACAGTTTGGGGATTTACCGGCATTACCCCGAATTGGACGCCGAAGACTAGATGGACCGTCTGTCTCAACATCCCAGAGAGGGATGACAACCCAAAAAAAACAAAAACAAAGAAAAAAAAACGGGGGGGATGATCCTGGTTATGGACCGGGAAATCAGACCTGAATAAAGAAGAGTGAAGGAAGAAAAAACTAGAGATGCGACAAAAAAAACTAAGATCGAAATATATAGTATAGCATAGTATAGTATATACACACGTATACATCTATATCTCTCCAGTTCTACTTGTACTTGTACATCGATCGACACTTCCACGTATACTCCTAGAAGTGCAGAAGCGGCAAAAATATAGGAGAGTGGCTGCTTGGTCCCTACGAGGTTCGAACTCGCGACCTTGATACACCGTTAGCAACCTCATTTTTGCAGAATCGACTGAGCATCCAGGGAGTGACTCACCTTGGCGTTATTAGCACCACGATCTAACCAACTGATCTAAGGGACCATTTCTCTTTCAATTCCGTGTGTTGTCGCATGTTGTCGCAATGAGGTCTGAGAATCAGAACTGATAATCAAGACCTGATTGGTCAGTTGGTCGGTTAATTCGAAAATGCATTATATATCCCTAAAAAAAAGCCGTAAAAGTAGGTAGCGTAGGGTGTTAGTCATGCAATGTATGGGCCATGGGCCATGGGCGGGCACGAAGGGGGATGGATCCACGAGTACCACGTAAGGGAATGCATTTTGGTGGGTGGTGGGGTGGGTCATTCTGAGTCCGTGAGTCACTAGACATATATCCACCATGCTGTTCCGTGAGGAGTGGAAAAGTTGCAATCTGAAGGGTAGGTAGATATGATATCTCACTCTCTACGATAGTTGTTCATTGACGAGTCTGGCCAAAGCTACTATAAGATCCAATCCATCACTTCTGTTTGACATTTTCCTGCATCACCGCGGTGCCCTTGTCCTCGTGGTCTAGAATGACCTCCTCGACCGTCGACAGTCCCCCAGCCGGAGTTGCGCTTCGATCTTGTCAATTTCTCCAAACAGGCGATCAAGAAGTGACATTGTTCCAGAAGCAAAGCCAAGGCCTTCAAAGATGAGAATTCCGTAGACCGTCAGGACCCCAACGCCAGAGAGTTGACCGAGAGCAATGGTGGTCGTACCCTATGCAGACGGAGAATACCACTCGGCTTCGGATTTCGAGAGAGGAAACTTAGGCCCGTTAAGCAGCAAGACTAGTGCCGATGGTGGCAGTGCCAATTCCGGCCACGGTTCTGCCAACCACGATCATGGCGAAGTCCAAGGCGCTGGCTTGGAGGGCAACTCCACCCAGGAGGATAATGGTACCCAGAACAAAGCCCAGTCGACGTCTCTCATGCCAGATAAACCACCAAGAGACGAAGAAGTTGCCAATGACATTGCCCTAGCTGATCATACTAGCCACGACGCCTTCCCACCCACTGGACAGGTGGAGGTAATTGTCGAATTTTAGTCTGAGATGGTGATCGAGTAGATGCCTGAATCAAAGCCTTGGAAGATGTTGGCGATAGACACCGCGACGCAAATCCAGTGACTGTACCAATTACTTTTTGCCATTTTGATGCGTCGTGTGGCGCGTGTTGTTGTGGTCGGAGAAGGGGATACTGAGTTCTCAGAGACATGGATCCAGTCAGTACGATCACTTCAATTCATATGGTTCGCCCTCGATGGACGAGCCTGCGCTGCCTCCCGGTTCAACAAGCGAAAGTCGTCGATCTGGATACGAGGGTTCGCTCCTCAAAAATTCTGCAAGGAGCTAGACTCCTCTAGCACTGGCGGTACTGGTGGTCTTCCCGCCATACCCTATGCATCCGTTGCCTACAGACCTATGTACTCATGGAGTAAATACCGGTGGTTGCAGATCCGGCAAATGAAATTGACATTTGGTGCGAAGATGACGGCCAATGCACGAGGAGGCTGATGTTGGTTGGAGTCGGAGATTTTGTACAGGCGTTCAAGTGCCAAGGGCCTTTAGCTCATTATTGGTTAGATCAGAATAATAGCGGCGATATCCTCGACTAGCAGTCACTGAAAGTGGCAAGCGTGGCGCATACCACAACTCACCCCAACCACCAGCAGATTCGACACTAGGATAACTTACAAGTGAGAAAGTTCAACGATTAAATTTTACCAGAGCTTGCCAAAGGGCTTGTCCTTCTGCTGCATCCTCGGTCTGTCCTGTAATCACCTTACGCACCCGTCTCACTAACAATCCTCGCTCAGCCTCATTCCGCAACCATGGTCTATCCACAGGAGACCTTCATGCGGACTTCGATTACACCAGGATCACTAATTGCCCGACGTCGAGAAGCTGTGGCCTCGGAGACCCTCTTTCACCTACTCAGAAAGTTGAAAGAGACGGGCAGATATGACGCGTTCGACATGAAATGGCATCCTTCATACAAAGATCCTCCTAAAGTATGGCCAATACCAAATCATCTGTTGTGGTAATTGCGTCTCGTCTGGTCCCGACTGGCATTGAAGAAGGTAGCTAACATCAAAAAAATCTCGAAGGGAATCTGATATTGCCAAGTGGATCGAAGGAGCGTGCTATTTCCTCCCTGAACATCCTGACGCCATGGTTGAATTGGTAATTAAAGAGCTGGTGCAGATGATTCAGAAGGCTCAAGCTCACGATGGATATCTCAATATCCATTTTATGGTCGTCGAGCTTGGACAGCGATTCACCAACCTGCGTGATCTCCACGAACTCTACAACGCAGGCCATCTCATTGAGGCAGCCCTAGCTCACAATTACCTCTACAAGAACAATGACCTCCTCGACCCGATACTAAAGTATGTCGAGCTTTTATGCAAAAGATTTGGGCGCAAAAAGGGTCAGATCCCTGGCTACCCAGGCCATCCCGAGATCGAGCTGGCACTTCTTCGATTGTACCATCGTACACGAAATCCCAAACACCTCGAGCTCGCGACATTCTTCATCAGTGAGAGAGGTAATCCAGCTGGCATCGATGGCAGTCACTTCTTCCGTTACGAGGCGAAGAAAAGGGGCGAAGCGCCCCATGTGATACTGCCATATTGGGGCCAGCCGGATGCTCTTTGGTATTATCAAGCCCACAAACCGATTGTGGAGCAAGAGACTATCGAAGGCCATTCTGTCCGCGCCATGTACCTCCTTACAGCAGCTGCCGACTTAGTGCGCCTTGACCCAACCTCGGACGGGCGCTTGAAAGACGCTATATACCGGCTGTGGACTAACATGGTGGAATGTAAAATGTATGTGACTGGAGGAATCGGCGCCATAAAGCAATGGGAGGGCTTTGGACTTGATTATTTTCTCCCTCAAGGTACCGACGAAGGAGGCTGCTACTCAGAGACCTGCGCCGCCATTGGTGTCATGATGCTGGCTGAGCGAATATTACAGTTTGATGTCGACCGCCGATTCAGCGATGTTATGGAATTATCGCTATACAACGCCGTGTTGACGGCCGTGTCGCATGACGGTACTAGGTTTTCGTACGCTAACCAGCTCGCGTCCAGCAACCAAGACCCTTCAGAACGTGCAGAATGGTTTACGTGCGCTTGTTGCCCTCTGAGCGTTCTTCGATTACTTGGACAAATTGGTGGCTACGTGTACACGCAAACAGCAGAGAACCCACATCGAATCAACGTCCATTTATACATCTCAAGCACCTACGAGTTTAGATCTGGCGCCCAGCTTGCAACTCTATCTCAAAGGAGCCAATGGCCCTGGGATGGGAAGGTTGACTTCACTCTTCAGACGCAGTCCCCGCTGGTTGCTGTCGATGTAGCTCTTCGAATACCGGGGTGGGCCACGGAGTGGACAGTAAGCTACCACCAAATCAATCTTCCACTCTCGAGGAAATTCAAGTGTCTAACGAGGTGTTAGTTAGATCCTGCGCCACCAACGTATGCGGTCGAGAAAGGCTATCTCATTCTGACGGCTGACTGGTTGTCCACTTACCGCTCTTTTTCTCTCAATGTCGATATTTCGCCTCGCCTTGTCGCTCCGCATCCATATACGAACCAAGATACCCTGGCAGTCGTTCGTGGGCCAGTCGTGTATTGTGTCGAGGATGTCGACAACCCTTGGGTGGACGACCACTTCAAAAGCACTCTGCTCCATCCTGCATGTTCATTTGTAGAGAAAACGGTCACCGACGCTACTACACGAGACACGTATGTGGCACTCACCACAGAAGGAGTGAGCAAGCTCAACATGAAGCACCTTCATGCATGTCCCGGTGTTGTGGTGAGAGAGCCAGAAATGCAAATACTCGATAAGGGTGTCATCACTGAGTTGAATTTTGTACCGTACTACTTCAAAGCTAATCGAGGTGGCCGCGGCCATGCAAGAGTTGGGTTGAGAAGATGGTATTAGGACTTGCGAAGTACTTGTATACACCACAGGGCTGACGAAGAGGTGGACCTATCATCGTGCGAGATTGGCAACCCTGTATTGAGGTAGGTGTCAGGGCAGGGTGGACGCTGGACCCTCCCGCCACCCTACAAGATTCTGGCTGAGGCATGGGTTATCAAGGTCCAGCCCTCTTCTGCGATCCCTTGAGTCGGAATAATTGATGACAGCGACAGCAAATGCCAGTCTCTGATACCGGTATACAATCCGTCAACCAAGCCGAACAGTGGCCAGGCCATACACGCTTTCATATTTCCTTCCCAATAGGTGCTTGGATAGGTTCATCTGCAGACGCGCTTCCAGAATGCGAAGAACCTTCTTCTCCTGCCTCGGCGGAAGAAATATCATCGTTACCAAAATGTCTCAGCACCAGCCATGTCGGGAGCAAGGCGGCTGCCCAGAGTCCGAAGTTGATATACACTCCGCCTACTTCGGCGAATATCTTGATCGAGTTCAGCCCGTAGCTGACAGCCTGCCATGCGGATTCCGTCCTATGTTCGTCAGCCGGCCATGGACGAAAGAAAACAGTGAGGGGTGGTGATTTGCCCTTACCCACGAAGCAACGCCGCATAGCGAATAATCTCGACTGGCGTTGTAGACAGCTGCGCCATTATGAAATAGCAGAACAAGTAATTGAGCTGGAAACCTGTGGTCAAGAACAAGAAGGGAACAAATGCATGGCCAAAGCCATTGCTGGTCCAGTCGTACGATGGCCTGGTGTGTCGGAATTTTGTTACTAGAACCGTGGCCCAGAGCCACCATCCGCCTTGCAGCACGACAATTGTGAAGAATGCCGATCGTGACCGGAGCTTCACCGACAGCTTGGTGCGGTCAAGATAATGACCAAGAAGATTGCCGCAGGTCACGGCAAGAATGCCAGACAAGAACGAACCGAGTGCGCGGGCCCGGACACTGAACCACAATGAGAGATATGTGAAGAAGACAGCCTCTGCATACACGGTTTGCCCGATGAACAAAATCAACAGCAGGTACCGCTTGGTGAAGAAGGTCTTCGTGGTGGCCTTGAGTTCGCGCCAGGGATGTTCGAGGATTTCCAACTCGACCTTGATGCCGTCGGTGCGCTCGACTTTGTGGGGTGGGTTCAGCAGTGCACCGACGAATGGGCCTGTGGCTTGCAGTGCGATGAAGATCAAGTACACGGTATAACTGACCTTGCCTGCCTCGCTGCGATCGACATTGATACCCAGGTTGATTGCGCCGCCCAAAATTTGCCCACCGAGGCGGTAAGTGAGCCAATATCCCAAAACCTTTCCGCGGTTGTAAGGTTCAGGGTATGCCATTGCAATAGCAGCCTCCGCCGCCCAGAAAACGCCAGCTGAGATCCCACAGAGGGCCGCTCCGACGAGTACCAACCACTCTGTGCCGAACCGATTGTTGGTGTAGAGGCCCGCCGCATATGGGGCATATCCCAAAGTACCGAACATGAGAGCGCCCTTGATGCCAATATATTTTGTGAGGACTGGCGAGAATAAACAGGACACCACCATGAGACAAAAGGTCAGGGCGTTTGCAGCGTTGACTAGGTACGGCTTCTGCAAGCCACCCGCACCGAGAGAGTTCATGGCTCCCCAGATACCCGGCGCGGCGAAATTGCAAAGACCAAGGATGGTGGCGTTGTAGAAGGTCGAGCGGTACCAGCGCACTGTGAGGTGATTAGGGGGGCTTCCTCTCAACCCAGGGCTAAGACACTTACCTGGGTGCTTCTGGACAGATGTTTCCCTGACATCTTGGAGTTCGGGATGCTTTGTCGAGACCGACGCCGAGCGAGACATGGTTTCGTGCTGCGCCCGAGCGAACTAAGGACAAACAGAATGTCGAGCGAGGCTCCGGGTTGCAGGCTGGTCAGGAGGCGCAAGAGAATCGCAAGGAGCAGGTGTGCTACGACAAACTCAATATACGAGCTTGAGGATTCTAACGTCTTTCTCGCATCATCTTGACCGCACGACGACCTTATCTATTTCCCTTCCTCTCTCGACCAAATTTCACGTGGAATCGAGCCGCAAACCTTCTGAGGACAAAATTCCGTCCCTTAA